AAAAAAAAAAAACAAGACCAAAAACATGACATCAAGCTTCTATTAATTAGTCAAATCTGACAAATCGCCATCCAATTAAATTGCAGAAGGCGGAGCTAATAATTGCACTTTATGCTCCTTTAATAACGCTTCCCTGATCTTCCCATCGTCTCTCTATATCAATTTACCAAAGATTTAAATATACGTTTCCAGCTCTTGTTAAAATATAACTGTTAATGCAGAGCAGTTGTAGAAGTGTGAATTATTCTCAAGCACTTATATTATATGCATGCAATAGGAGAGAAGGTCTCCTGTATCAAGTCCGCGTCCTTTAACTAGTCTCCTTTTAAACAAGAACAAAAACTTAAGATAAAATATCATATATGCACTGCATGGAAAACCCGAGATGCAAGGTGTACTTGGTTTAGGACACAGTAAAGTGCAGTAGTTCTTACAAATTACTGTTCATAATACATTTCTTTTGTTTGAACTTGCTTTTGGAGAAGTACACATACATTCTATACGTATAGAACATAAGTTGACCTTATGACCATTAAACACAAAAATGAACAAAAATAAAAATTTGAAGACAGGTGTAAGGTGGGGTTAGAACACTTAAAATAACTGGTAATATCAAAATGAGTCACCGATTCTAGTTTAGGTGCAATCTAGAAAAAATAAATGTCAGGCACATATATAGGATTGATTTTGAAAAGGAGCATTTTAAGGGGAAAAAATGGCAACTTACCTGAAAAAATCTTTGACTAGCTTCCCCCCCCCCTCCCAAAATGAAAAGAATTCTCCCGACTCAAAATTTTATTTGGTGGTATGTAAAGTCCATAAACGAGGGGAGGAGGGCTTTCATTGAAAATTTTTATCCTTAAAATTTACATTAAAACTTTACATTTCTCAAAAGGTTGGGAGAGAGGCAGACCTCCTGCAACCTCCATCCCACCTATCACCCAAACATTATGTGCGTTAATGATATGTTCACATGAATGGAAGTCAGGTGCGTGTGAAATAACTTTCCAAAACTATTTGCATCAATTTGGAATTTCCCAATCTATTTTAGTCTAATATGGAGAAAATAAATCCATATTTCACGTACAGGTGAATATAACGTATTATTTTTTTTTTTCTACATTGTTGGTTCCTGCCAATCAGAGAGAAAGGAATTATTCAATTATAAAATAATATTCATTATCTAATGAAAGAATTAAGTTCCGGCAAAGAGATATATTGTGGCGCAAGTAATGAAAGAGAGGAATATTAAACTATTGTGACTTTTTTCGTTGGATATAAATTTCTTTACATTTGTGCAAAGAACACCAATCAGGATATGATAATTGAACCTTTGAATGTGAAAGAAATAGTGTATTTTTAATGGCGCAACACATCAAGAATTTGTCACCATCTCCTGACGTATGTATGGTGTAAAGACAATTTCAAAAATAAGACAGGCTATTGACAAATAAGTTATTGATACAAGGATATCAACAATCTCGTTTAAAGTAAATATTTCGGAAATATTGACATCTGTCTTCCATACAAATTGTTAGACCATTATTTTCACACCAAATTGACTACGGATTTTTCGTTTACCCCACCATGACAAGGAGCACATGGCTGTGACTGGTTGGTAGGGGATCACCCCCTCCCCAACAAAGATTCTGAATTTTTTTAGGCATGATAACTTATCAAAAAAAACTAAATTCCTAGGAAATGCCTACATTCTGATACCAGAATGAAGTCATTTCCCATTTTTGTTATAAACAATAAAAAATACTATAAATACTTTTTATTTTGTGCTATATGGAGTTGAAGTCTCCCATTTGATTTGATACTCAAGAATCAAACGATTTCAAAATCAAGGCGGGCTATTGACAAATAAATTGATGATACAAGACAGGCTTGGGGTAATGCTAAATGTAATGGTAATGCATTGCAATGCATTACTTGAACTCAAAGTAATACTAGTAATGTGTAGTGCCAAAAAAAATGCATTACATGTAATGGTAATGTAATGCATTACTTTCTCAAATCCAGGGTAATGCTGGCATTACATAACATTACATAGCATTATTTTGTATATATCTATTTTTGAAAAATTGAAAATCGATATGGAAATCAATGTTTAGATTTTAAAATATTTTTTAAAAATAAATTTCTATTTAAATAATAGGAATGAATGAAAAGTTAACCTTTTTAAATAAACTCTCTGTATCTATTTAAATACATTTTTTTATTCTGTTGACAGTACAATTACCACACATATAAATTTTCATACTTATTTTAGATCAGATTTAATTTCAAAGAATATTTTAAAGAGTTTATTTAAAAAAATATCTTTTAAAAATAATTCCGGTATGAGGCACACTAGTTAATGTACACCTTTTGAATAGAGCGTCATCAAAACGTATAATGCCTCTCAGGTTATGTAACAATCAAAAACAATGTTTTGTTTTGTGAAGTACTCCAAAAACCAGCCCCTCTCTTCTGACTGTGTTTATGAAACAATAATTGAGCTTGTCCAGCTTGAGCTTACCATGACAAATCCATTGCACCAAAAGGAATAGAAGACTGGTATTCTACTTTTAGAAGAGCAAAATGTTCAAACTATCCAACCCCTTTTTACAAGTTTGAAGTAATGGTAATTTAATGTAATGCATTACTTTACAATGCAATTCACCCCAAGCCTGATACAAGGATATCAACCATTTCGGAAATTCTTTGGTCAATACAATGACCTTGTTTGCAAGTACAATCTATCATGAGGTCAAATGTTGACCTATGTCTTTCATACAAATTGTTAGGCCATTATTTTCACACCATACTGGCTACAGATTTTTCGTTTACCCAATCATGACAAGGAGCACATAGCGGTTGTGACTGGTTAGCAGGGGATGCTTTCTCCTCCATGAGACCTGATCCCACATCTGTTTTCAGGGGGCAGTTTTGGATCTTGCTCACAATTTGTATTGTTTAATTGACAATTTTGAGAATATTCACTGTTCATTATCTTCACATTTCAATTTTACATTTAAGATAATCATAATTTACATTTCTACCTCATTATATTTCATTTTGTTTTTTTTATCTTACTTATTTGTACTTTACATGCTAAAGTGCTCTGAGAAAAAGGTCATTTCAATTTCATTCAGACCACATGCATTTCCTACCATGAAAAATTCTCAACAAAGAATAAAATTTTCACAAGCTGCAGGATTGATACCTCAGTATATATTGACATACCTGCAATTTATCAACATTAATTAATTCAGAATAATTAATACTGAGTATTAAATATTAACTTCATATTTGGAGACCTTATAAATAGGTATCCACTGTGTTGTGGTTTGAGCAATAGGGACTGTGGATATTGTCCTGGGAATCTCAGTAGTTAGAATAATTGACTAGTAATGCTGAGGGTCCTGGTCCAGTCATGAATTTTCTTTCTTTCCTGTCATAACTGCAAATATACCCAGTAAGAGAGGCAAACTAATGTGTTGTATTCTAAATACATGTATTAAAATTTTATAGCCCTGTTACAATGCGAATGTAATAATAACGCAAAATGTAATAAACTGGGATTATTACATTTTGTGTCATTACATTTTGCATCGAAATCAATGCAGAATGTAATAACGCAAAATGTAATAACACAAGTTTTGGATTATTGCAATTTGCGTTGGTATTAACGCAAAATGTAATTATGCACTTTTTGGTCGTTACATTTTGCGTTACTTAATTTTTGCGTTGAGGACAACGCAAAATGTAATAAAACAAAATATAATTTTTTTTTGTATTGTGTTCAATGCCAAACATCACAAAATTGATTTAAACATATAACAATGGGGAAACTCGCTTTACTAAATAGGCAGACACACCTATGACTATGAGACATACGTTACGGCTTTTACAGACATTACTAAATCTAATTGTATAATTTTTTTAACTTTGTTTCTAACATTTTTATTGAATACTTATACAACATTAACTTAACTTTGATTGACATCTCTATTTATAAATACGTCTGTATTATATATCCATCACTGACATTCTTAATTACCAAAGATTGACCATAGGTCCATTAAAAGCTCTTGATATGCATGCACGACGTGCATGTGTGCATTGGTTAGCAAATTAGAAGTGCATGTGTGTGTGTCTGACGAGGAAAAGCGGGGGTAGGGTTACTTCGTATATGTAAGTTGATCATTGTATTTTTATGCGCATGCAGCAACTATCCATTTTTATTGAAGAGAGAGTGAGAGAGAGAGGGTGAGAGAGAATTTTGTTTCTGCTGGTCTGCAATGCACATGATATGTAAAACGGTATGGAATCTTTTAAAATTGTCACGAAACTCCCTTTCCGCTATATTTACACCTGCCAGTAAAAATAAATAGATTTCTTTTCTAAATTCCATGCATCTGCCTATCAAAAAGCAAAAGCAAACTGATACACTGATCACAAAATCCCCCCCCCCCCCCCTCACACACTCGTGCTCACGCACGTTTCTAATTTGCAACACCTATGATTTGAATATCAACGGACTTTAAATGGCTAATGAAATCATATGATGAAATCAGATTAAATGCAAGAATTAGCATAAGTTTATTTTACCTTTTGTTTTATTTTTTCCGTTTATTTTCTTCATCCACTACTCAATTGAAATTTAGTCTCAACATGACTGGCCTAAAAGTGTGTTATTACATTTTGCGTTGTTGCATTTTGCTTAATCTCGACGCAAAATGTAATAATCCAAAAATCTTATTATTACATTTTGCGTTGATCTCGACGCAAATGTAATAACGCAAAATGTAATAATCCTTAAAAGTCTGTTTTTTTACATTTTGCGTTATTAAATTCTGCGTTGATATCAACGCAAAATGTAATAACGCAAAATGCAATAATTCCGGTTTAATACATTTTGCGTTGTAACATAGCCCTGAACTAAAAAGGATGAGGTGTGGATTGTGCCAAAGTTGGCCCCTCATCTAACATAAAAAAAAACAAAAACACAGTTAAAAATGTCACAGCTTGTAATTTTCAAAATGATTCCTTGATAAAAATTAATATTGAAACTGATTTACAGAACGGAGATCAAGAGAGGATAATATTTTTATTTTTTTGACTTTCATGAAGTTGTACATATTTTTTTGCTGCAGTGGGTCTATCACACTTTTTCACAAAGATATATCTGACACTGAAACATAAAATACATGTACATTAATCTAGCAGATACATGTACATGCGTTCCTTGTGTTCTTTTTCTTTTTTTTTCCATTTTTTTTTTTACAACCAAGTGCACCTAAGAGAATTTAGACATTAAACAAAACTGTACAAGTACATGTAACTCTCACTTGACTTTATGCACATAAATTACATGTATAAATTAAAATAAATATCCATTTAAAAGCATCTATGATTTTGTTGTGCACTATTACAATATTTTGACAATTGTTCAACATGGGTCTAAACCTACCAGTACCTTGTTCTATCTACGACAAAAAAAAAACTGCATTTACAAAAATGTTCTTAATAATAAGAAGGAAGATAATAAATTGTCAACCATATTTAAAAGTTACTTATTATGGTTTCAAGGGTTAACTTGAAATTTGTACAAACTGCAATGCAACAAATTAGGATCTTTGATAATGTCAATTAAAAAACAACAACCAAATGTATATTTCTGAGAAAACCTCATAAAACGAGGCATTTCATCTACAAAATGATATAAATTTTAGGATTCATTCAATAAAACAATGCTTTATACACAGTTCAAAATATAATATAATTATTAATTTTAAAAATGTCAAAGTTTGAATCAATGTCCAAAATGACCATAAAGGCAAACTTTTCTGCTTCCTTGATGATAGTTTAATTTCCTACTTCCCTGATTGTAGATTAACTTCCTGTTTCCATCTTTGGTTCCATATCTGTTGTGTCATTTTCGGTGTCATTTTCAGTGTCATTTTCACACTCTGGCTTCTCTAAAGACTTGTATTCTTTAACAAGACCTTCTAAAGTTTCTGCATAAAATATATTTTTAATTATTCAGCTGAACTTTGGTGTCTCAAACATTAAAATCTGGTATACTATGTGTGTTGGAAGTTCCAACCACTTTTTATTTATGTAAATAACTTTGGTATCTTGAAATCTCAACTATCTCGTATAGTTTTCCCCATCGAGTTAGGGATAATGAGGTTTGAAAGCATTAAAATCTTAAAAATGCATTCTTTTAGGTAGTACTTACTTGCATTTTTCCATTATCTGTTATATTACAAACAAGATCTGAACTCTTCTCCATACATAACATTAAAATTGCTTTGTTCCTCATTGTAAGATTTTAATATAGTAAATACAACCTATCATTTGGTCATATTTTGACTGTCATATTCCATACCAATTGTTAGGCCTTTGTTTTTATACTGAATTTGATTATGCATTATTCTATCTATCTGATAAATACTTTGGGCTCATGGTGGGTGTAAATGGTCAACAGGGGATATTTACTCCTCCTGGGCACCTGATCCTACCTCTGGAATTTCTAGGGCTCAGTTTTTTATGCCCTATTCACAGATTTGTATTGTTTATAGGTTTTTTTGAGATTATCACTGTTCGTTATCTTCACCTATTTCACTGTTCTTAAAAATTTTTTTGTAGCATCTTTTTGATGTACATGTATTGGAAACAGAATGCTACACTTACGCTTGCATTCCTTCATAACATCTTCTGTCTTTGTTTGGAAGAAGATATTGCTATTTTGCTGCTGCTTGTACACTTTCTTGAAAGATAAAATGAAATCAATGCAATCACATATACAAAATAATATGTACTGGTACAACATAGTTATTCAACACACCAAGTTTATTATCATCATTGCTACCACCTACATGTACATGAATAATTCAGATATATATCATTCAGTGTCAGCAATTATTATATGAAAAGAAGAGGCCAATGGATCTTGACAGTCACCTGAGTATCAAGAGAATTAAGATTCCCAGGAATGAGAACTGGTCAGGACAAATATTTAACAGTTTGGTGAGGACTCAATATAATCATTATCATGTAAAGCTTGTCTCTTAGAAATTCAGGAGTAAAACAGATAAATTTCAACATATGATTAACCTTGCCCCAACCCTGGGGCTTGATCCCTGTCCAGGGATACATCAATTTATTTTGTAGAGGGCTAAATGTGTATTTAAAGAATCTGCTTCCTACATGTTCATGAGAAAAAAAGAGATCAAAATGTTACTTTTTTCAATATATGACCCAATAAGTTCCAGACTAAGGTCTTCACCATGGCCAGGGAAGTATAAACTATGGATTTTATCTTCATAATGTCCATAAGTAAATAAAATTTGCAAAGGTGTCATGTATTTCAATATATGACCAACTCAGGTCCTGCTCTGGGGCTTCAATGCTGGACCCAAGAGGCATCAATTTCATAATTTAGGTAAAGGGTTAGTAGTAGTATTAATTTTATTGTAATCATGCAACTGTTTTTTGATACATTTCCATAATTAAAGTTTTTTTTTTTTAAGTTGTAATATATTTCTTTCAATGTATCATGACCAACTTAGCTGCACTCCTTGGGCATGAATTTCAAAATTATGGTAATTTAAAGGATTAAGTGTGTTCATTATAATCAAGAAAACAATTTATCTTCAGGAATTCCATGAAAAAGTTCTTTGTTATGTATGTCAAATGTTTTGTGTATTTTAAATATATTTCTGTACTAACTTAGCCCAACCCTGAGACTGAACAGTGGACCCAGGTGATGAGTCTTTTAGGATTTTGGTAAAGGTTTTGCAATCATAAAAATAAAAGACTCAAGTGACCTAAAAAGAGTAATCATGGCCCAGCTGATTTTGAGAAGATTAAAAAAAAATTAATTCCCATGTAAAATATTTATTTTCTATTGTAGCACCACTCAAACCTGGGAGCCATGATTATCACTTGAACAAGACTATGTAAGGAAGCTAAAATATTCACACAAGTTTCATCTTTTCTGCCCAGTGGTTCTAGGTTTAATTGAGAAGAAGATTTCTTTATTACCCCACAAAATCTCCACTGTTAATTTTATCCCCTTGAAAGAGGGTGTGATTCTTCATTTGAACAAAATTCCCCATCCTCTAAGGATGCTTTTATAGTAAGTTTAGTTGAATTTGGCCAAGTGGTTGTAAAGGTTGAAAATGTGAAAAATTTATACACAACACACAGTGGCCAACCAAAACAGATGTAACAATAGATCACCTGATTGACTCAGGTGACCTAAAAATAATTTCTTCTATTGTGATAGTCCTAAGATATTTATGTCTCGAAGAAATATAACATTGTGTTCACCTTGATCCAATAAACTAATTCATAGTAATATTTATAAAAAAAAAAAATCAGTACATACTGCTCCTTTCTTCAAGCTGGCTAACTCTGTCTCTAAGACCTTCTGCTCTTGAAACTGAAAAAAAAAGAGAAAAGAATATTACTGGGTATTTACTAAAAGTTCACTGCGCTATAGTCATAAAAGAGAGTACCGGCCGGTACTCATCGTATATCAGGATATCTTGCAACACTGGCAACTTGTCATTTGTATTGTGTCAGATCATGATTACAGATACTTTTTCATGTTTTATACTAAGATTGTACCTACTACTATAATGATTAATGATATGTTTTGGGCCACTATTTTAATAAGTTGTTTTTCAAGACTTTTTTCCAAAATATCAGGTCGGTATGTTAATAAAAAAATTAATTCAAAACAAAAGTTCATAATTAAACTTCCTTCTCACTCCCCTAAAGATTAAAAATTGCATATCAGTTACTGGTATATTTTGTTAACCAAAGTTCTTTAAACATCCAATTATAGGAGATATCAAAAGCTTATAATCCTAAAATTATATGCTTTAAACTCTTTTTAAAATTCAAAAAATTCAGTAAATGCCAACTACAAAAGTTTCCTGATAACTAATTTTAAAACTTGTTTTGTTTTATCTGGTTTTTAACCATGTTAACTATACCTTTAAACTTGAAAATATGAAGCTTTTAGTTGTGTTTGATGTGCTCTTATTAACACCCTGTTACTAGCAGGTCCAGTCCAAAGACTATTTCTACCTATGAAGCTAGTTATAGTAAATATAAGACATCTTGTGAATTGGTATAAATTTTAAAACTTACCTTCATGCATTCTTAGATAAAAGGTTTTTGGGACAAGTTTTCATGGATTTCCTATCCATCCTCCACCCTCGTAAAGTTTACAAATTTATACTCCGCATTTTGCTGTGCAAGTGCACAACATGATAAGCAACAAGTCTGCCTTGTTTTATAGATGCGCCTTAATTATTATTTATTTCTATTTTTAAAAACAGGTTAAAATAGGTAGAAGTAGCTACTTTAAGTAGATTTAAATACCTAGGTAGCTTTTCATAGAGAGCACAGTGAGCTCAATAGTCTAACATGTAAGAACAGAGAAAATTTGAATTAAAATCTGTATATTCTTCAAGCAAATTTTTCTCTGAAACCTTCCTAGAATTCTTTTGCTATCAGAATTTCATGTGATAATGGCAAATAAACCCTGCAGTTATCATGTATCAAGATTTTATACTTGCAAAGAGCCTAAACAAAGCAAAATATAATTGCATCTTTTCTACAATGCCTTTTGTTAAAAAATTGCAAAAGGCCTACTTAGACTCAGCTACGGAATTTTAATTTACAATCTAGACTGTCTCATGCAGTTTGAAGTTTGAAAAGGTGATCAAAGATTAAAGTGTAAGCTATGTAAAGTTTTTTTTCTAGCTAGATAATACAATCAAACCGAATGTCAGACACCTCGGCCCAACAACATTTCGGCCCATTGACACCTCGGCCCAGACGGGTCGGCCCAAGATTTTAGACACCTCGGCTCGCATTAAAGACACCTCGGCACAAACAAAAATGTATTATTTAAAATATTTATTTAATATATTTTGAAGTATTTTATTATCATAGGGACTATATGCGACGGATTATATTATTATACATCCATGAAATGAAAAAGAAAATAAATGAATAATCTTCCGAGAGTAAATTGACGGTAATTAAAAAAAAGACTGTCCATCACAAAGTGCTAGTCGTTAAACAAACAAGAAGACGCGGCGCATCCTTTGGAGTCTCAAGCACGTGTCATATCATAGGGACTTGAGACAATCTTAGCAAAATTGGGTATATAGTATACTTATATACCCGATTTTGCTACGATTGTCTCAAGTCCCTGTGTGTCATATGGGGTGGTGACAATGAGGAGTTAATTACGAACAGGCTAAATTAATCCAATATTGCTGGGTACAAACCACATATCTACCTTGGTTGGTTTAAGGAAATATATCCATTATGCTCTAATATTACGTAACAAGGACCTATCAGGTTAACCTAATTTCTATCTGTGTAAGGTTGAGTTTATAAATTTAAGCAGTAATATATATAGCAAAAACAAAAAAAAAAAAAAAGAATTAAGATATCTTATTGATCAGGACAGAATACCTCAGGACAAATGCTTATGTGCATGCACTGGTTTATACATATATTTCTATATAATACGCCCCTACTAAAAAGTGATTTTTAAGTAAAAGAATTCTTAACATCATATGAAATGAATAAAGTTGCATTTTCATAAGCAACAAAATAAATAAATAGACCTCCTATCATCCCACTCAATAGATACAGCAGCTGACATCTATGCTGTCGTTCGTTCAAAAATTCTGGAAATTTTATCTGCACCTGTTTATTGTATACACTGTACATATCGTCATTATACATACATACATTTATATTACCATAGTGAATACAGTAAATAATTCTGAAAATTAAAAAAATTTCTTGGGCTGAGGTGTCTTCAATATGGGCCGAGATGTCAATGATTTTGGGCCGACCTGTCAGGGCTGAGGTGTCAAACGTGACGGGCCGAGGTGTCATTGGGCCGAGGTGTCTGTCTATCATCAAACCTCGTTATCTTGAACTTGATAGGACCAAGAAAATACTTCAAGATATCCAAGCAATCAAGATATCCAGGGTAAAATACTTAATAAGTGTTTGGGACTTTCGAATCACTTCGACATATCCATGGTCGAGATGTCAGTGTTCAAGATACCAAAGTTCAACTGTAATAGGTAGAAATAGTCTTTGGACTGGATCTGACCAAGGGCAGCACTCACCAGAAAGACGAGATGGCAGATCAAGTAATTGTTGTATAATTAACAGAACCGGCTATTTTCTTCTTACCTTTGGGTTCTGGTTCTCCATTTTCCTTTAATTCAAGTGTTGTTTTACTCTTGTTTCTAACACCGTAAACCTCATATAATTTGTAAAATGTGTAAAGTAAATATGGGAAAGAAACAAAAATTAAAGTTTTTCTAAGATACCGATCAAAAGCCTTAGGTTTTGGCTTTTGCATGGCAACTATTTGCCATGGATAGACAAAAGCTAAATACAAACAGAAAACAACCGCATAGAGTTTGTATCTAAAGCTAAGGTCATCAAAGAAAAATTTGTTATTTGGCAATGTGACGAAAACCGGATATCCTTTATGCAACCTAAACACAAAGTTTAAATGGCAATTGAGAAATCCCGAAATAAGTTTTATTTCATTGAGTGAGATAATTAAAGGTGTGTACATGGATATGTATTTTTTTTATGCATCCCAATTTCTAGCAGGTATCCTAAAAATATTTCTGCACGGATTAAATCATAACATCTCTTCACCTATTGCGGAATGGTAAAAATTGCAAGTGGTGGGACCCTATCCGGAAGTTGATTTTGGAGGCCATTATCATTGATTACGAATTTCCGTTTTATTATATATCACGTATTGGTCTTTTGTTTTGCACGTTTTATTTTGGTATGAACATTACATTTGTTATTCATTGAGTCATTTTATATGAACTAGATGTCAAATATGTGTAGTTTTAGAATAATTATTTGAGGGAATTTAAGAATATGGTACCAAATTACTGGTTCTGTGTCATACTCTCTTGCTCGCATTTCTGTCATATTTTATTTAGCAGCAGTTACATATAGTCCTACATAGCAAAGTGTAACATTTTCAAGACGTTCAATTCTCTAGCATACAATCATAGAACGACTTTTCTTTATCTCCCGAAATGCCTCTACTACAGCAGTTAAGCCCCATTAGCTACAGACCAGAGGAGTTTATGTGGTGGTAAAGTGTATGTCGTGTTTCCATCTGTATGTAAGCAAGTTCCTAATGCTACTTAGTCTTTAGTTTTAGTAATCATTCAAGTAAACATAATAATCAAGTAGACTAGTTTAGGATGCATAATTATGTGCATCATCAGATTTCTATGAACAGTGTTGCCATAGTTACTAAAACGTGATTAATCTGTAAAATTCTTTGAAAACCCCACATCCTCCAACCTCTAATTTCAAGTAATACTCAACACAAGTAGTCACTGTTCTTCTAGTTCCAGTGAGGAGTTCATTCATGATGTTGAGGGTTATGTTCCACTTGTAGTCTAAATCAAGATGCATAAACCTACAGTCAAACCTCATTATCTTGGACTTGACAGGACCAATATAAAAATTCGAGATATCCAAGGATTCAGGATAATGAGGTTAAAACGTAAAGAAAAAATTGGTTGGAAATTCCAAATCACTTCAACATATCCCTTGTGTTCGAGATAACTAAAGTTCAGCTGTATATACATGCATGTACTCATTTTTTGTTCCAGTGAAAGTGATTGTAAAATTTGTCAAAAAAACTTCTCTTTCAAGAGATTAGGTCTGATTGCAATCAAATTTGTTACACAAATAGAGGCATTGTTACACAATTAGACAAATATAGGTTCAGTCTCAGAGTAAAGACTTAAATATTTAGAATCAAAATGAAAGATTCATATGTTTATATTTCAGATATTTTTTTTTCCAATTCAAGCACAAGTTCCAGAATTATCTTTGTTATCTTTTTGTGTATTACACTGCATTCTGACAGTTGTATTATACTGCATTCTGACAGTTATAAATATTTACATTTCAAAATGTTGATTAAATATTTGCTGTTTACTGAGTTTTGTACTGTTATATTCATGCATAATTAATTATTTTAAATTTTATTTTTAGCGCCAAGGATGAATATAGGTACAGCAACAAGCGAAGAGAACCCGACCCATTCATACTTGGGCTCACGAGGAATTTGGATAACTTATGTTTTGATCGTGTTGATCACACACTTCATGCTTCTCACAATTCCATTCTTCTCGGTGGCCGTGGCCTGGACTCTCACAAATGTCATTCACTGTATAGTAAGTAACCAATATTTAATCATATAACCAGTGTGTTTCCAATTCAAGATAAGAAGTTTTATTCAGTTTTTTTTCTTTCCCTAGAAAAGGTGCAACAATGTACCAAAAAGCATTGAGAATTGCAATTCAGACTATATAGATTCATACTAGGAATAGCTGAGCAGACTATGGGAATTGCTAAATTGGAACATTTTTACTTTAGGCTTACATGTCCATTTATGCATCTTTTAACTTTCAAACATTGATATGTTGGGTACTAGTCAAAGAGAGTCTATTTTCCTTACCTTATTAGATATTCAAATGTCAGGTTGGATATCTCGAAGTTCTTGCATGAGACATATTTACTGTATTTCTTATCTGAATTGGAATTAGATACAGAATTAGATTTAGACAGATGCAGGTAAACCATCATCTATTAAACTCTCATTATAATTATCAAGAAGTGTTATTTTAAAAGTTGACGAAATATCAACGTTGTATAAAACACCAAAACATACTGTACTTGTAAAACTTACTATATTAGTTTTTAGCTCACCTCGACGAAGTCGAGATGAGCTTATGCTATACCCCCGGCGTCGGCGTCGGCGTCGGTGTCGGCGTCGGCGTTAGCGTCGGCGTCCCAGGTTAAAGTTTTAGGAGCAAGTCCCATTCCCAAGTAACTATAAGCCCTACCTGGACCAAACTTGCATGGATGATGCATCTAGGGATGGACACTACCAAACTTGCTTCGGATGCTGGATCTGACCTAGATTTTCCAGATGAGTGACCAGGTTAAAGTTTTAGGAGCAGGTCCATTCCCAAGTAACTATAAGCCCTACCTGGATCAAACTTGCATTGATGATGCATCTAGGGATGGACACTACCACACTTGCTTCGGATGCTGGATCTGACCTAGATTTTCCAGATGAGTGACCAGGTTAAAGTTTTAGGAGCAGGTCCATTCCCAAGTAACTATAAGCCCTACCTTGACCAAACTTGCATGGATGATGCATCTAGGGATGGACACTACTAAACTTGCTTCGGATGCTGGATCTGACCTAGATTTTCCAGATGAGCAGGGCTCGACATTAACGCTTGTCCGCTTGCCTGGTACCAGTGAAAAAAAATTGCGGACAAGTGAATATTGCTGAGCACTTGTCCGATTGGACAAGTGTATTTTAATGTAAAGGAGTCTCTAAATAATAATAAGAACGACTGTGAAAGATAATCGGTAGTCTCAAGACGGAAGCTGTACATAAAAACCGGACTTCAATCCCGATAGGGATCGCTACTAATTGAGTTCACATTGATTCGGGATCGAAGTTCACTAATTGCATACTACTGAAAAGGCATGGAACTTACGAACTTAACGAAGTTTGCTTCACTTGTGGACATTTATGTTGTTGTCAGGACAGAAAGCCTAGATAAAATTTCGTTTTATGTGTTTGTTGTAAATATCAATGACATCACGAATCAATCAAGCACATGTCATGTGTAATGGACTTTATTTCAGTTTTCAAGTTAACAGTATTAGATCTTTATTGAAAAATTTTTGGACAAGTGAAGTTGAAGTTCGGACAAGTAAATGTCTTGGATACTTGTCCGAATGGACAAGTAGGAAAAAAAGTTAATGTCGAGCCCTGATGAGTGACCAGGTTAAAGTTTTAGGAGCAGGTCCATTCCCAAGTAACTATAAGCCCTACCTTGACCAAACTTGCATGGATGATGCATCTAGGGATGGACATGGCCACACTTACTTCGGATGCTGGATCTGACCTAGATTTTCCGGATGAGTGACCAGGTGAAAGTTTTAGGAGCAGGTCGATTCCCAAGTATCTATAAGCCCTACCTTGACCAAACTTGCATGGATGATGCATCTAGGGATGGACACTACCAAACTTGCTTCGGATGCTGGATCTGACCTAGATTTTCCAGATGAGTGACCAGGTTAAAGTTTTAGGAGCAGGTCCATTCCCAAGTAACTATAAGCCCTACCTTGACCAAACTTGCATGGATGATGCATGTAGGGATGGACATGGCCACACTTACTTCGGATGCTGGATCTGACCTAGATTTTCCAGATGAGTGACCAGGTTAAAGTTTTAGGAGCAGGTCCATTCCCAAGTAACTATAAGCCCTACCTTGACCAAACTTGCATGGATGATGCATCTAGGGATGGACACTACCAAACTTGCTTCGGATGCTGGATCTGACCTAGATTTTCCAGATGAGTGACCAGGTTAAAGTTTTAGGAGCAGGTCCATTCCCAAGTTACTATAAACCCTACCCGGACCAAACTTGCATGGATGATGCATCTAGGGATGGACACTACCACACTTGTTCAGATGCTGGATCTGATCTAGATTTTCCACATGTGAGACCAGGTTTAGATTTAGGAGTAGTCTCATTCCCAAGTAACTATAAGCCCTACCTGGACCAAACTTTCATGGATGATGCATCTAGGGATGTACACTAACCAACCTGCTTCGAATGCTGGATCTGACCTAGATTTTCCACATGAGTGAATTTTAGCCATATTTTAACCAAATTAGCATGGATGATGTATCTAGGGATGGACACTTCCAGACTTGCCTTGGATTCTGAATCTGATGTACATTTTCCAGAAGAGTGACCAGGGTAATTTTTTTGGAGTAGCTATATAATATTATGGCCTGTTATGATTAAACTTGCATAGATGGTGCATCTAAGGATGAAAACTTCCAGACTTGCTTTGGATGTTGGAACTGACCAAAATTTTCTTGATTACTAAACAGGTCAAAAGTTTTTTGAGCAGGTCTATAATTAAATCAAACTTGCATGGATATTGATCTTGGGATGTACCCTAACTAGAAAAAAAATATGATGTGAAATTTGCCTTACATGTAGATAACATTCGTCGAGGTGAGCTTCGTAATCTTTGATTACCTATGTTTATACAAAAGTGATGTCAACATCTGGCTTGTACTTGCTAACTTTTTTTTGTTACAGATAACATACTTCATGTTGCATGTCACTAAAGGCACCCCATGGGGAACCCCAGAACAAGGGAAAGCTAGGACCCAAACACAATGGGAACAAATAGACTTTGGACAACAGTTCACTCCTACAAAAAAATTCCTGACAATAGTCCCAATTGTAATGTAAGTCTTTAATCCTGCTCATCTTTTATTTAAAAAATACGACATTCTATTTCATTCTGTACCACTAACTCAGTAACTGCATTAGTCATCATGTAATCATCTGTTTTAATTTAAAGAAATTTTGACAGTTTCTTAATTGGATTATAGTGATTGAAAGACATTTATATACAACTGTCCTTTCTAAAATTATATATTTTGACAGATTTTTCTTGGCCAGTTTTTACACAAAATATGACTCTACACATTTCTGTATAAACTTGGCTGCCTTAGGCTTCAGTGTAATTCCAAAGCTGCCCCAGCTTCACGGCGTGCGAATCTTCAACATCAACAAGTGGTGATTCACTTCCTGACTACACACTCTGGTTTCAGACAGGATGTCTGAATAACAAAAAAAATAACTAAAAAAGTTATTTTCCAAGGGAGATAACTAATTCTGACGGTGATTGGTTTTCCAAAGGGAGACAATCTCTATCCAAAAGACTATAATTTTAATAGGAACCTGTGTGACTTTTACATGGGACTGATGATTTCCCCTTTGATTTGTGATAGTGCTGCATAATTTGCTGTCTAGTATAGAAGGAGAACAGTTTATGTGTGCATTTGAGATTGACATGAAAGCTTCTTAGTGAGAGAGATCAAACCTACATATCCATGGTCACTTGTGTGTTTGTAAGAATCTTTGTCTCACCCTGTACTTTGTGATCTATTTTAATGTCTAGTAAATTAACATGTACAAAAGATGTGTAAATGCTTTTTAAAAAATTCTTAATGACCAATGCATATAATCTTCATATATATGTAAATATATTGTTTTCAGAAAGCACATCTGTGAACTCTTCAATTCCATCCATACACTTTTTTTTCGGTCCATCCTTCACTAGAACGTACACTGTATGCTGTACCTCAACAATCTTGTAAAAAAAATTTACATATTTCTTTTAAGTATATTTTGAAATAAAGCAGATAAAATCTATTTGAAATATGTCAGATATGTATTGTTTAATTCTTCCATTAAGTTCCAATGACAATTATAATGTGTTTCTATTTTATAGGACTATTAAAAAATGTTTTATTTTAAATTACTGTCCAGAATTTTCCTCTTTAGAACATTGTCATATTTATACTGTTATACTGTTTATAAACTGTAAATGAGCAGATTTATATGGCAGTTAAGCAGAATTTTAGCATTCAGTTGAGCTGTCAATTAAGTAATAATTGAGCAGCCACATAAGCAACTATTGAGCTGTCAGTTAAACAATAATTGAGCTGTCAGTTAAGCAACAATTGAGCAGTCAGTAAAGCAACAATTGAACTGCCAGTTAAGCAACATTTGAGCTGTCAGTTAAGCAATAATTGAGTTGTCAGCTAAGCAACAGTTGAGCAGTCAGTTATGCAACAATTGAGCAGATAGTTGAGAAGCAATTGAGTAGTCGGTTGAGCTGTGATTGATGTCCTGTTGATAAATACATGTAATATTTATTATTATTGGTGATGGTAACAGAAATGCAAATGGGAAATAAAATAAATTGTACTTTTTAAAGATTTAAATCCAAATGTAGATGTATGAATCTTTGATTTCACATGGATATTTTTCATGTGCTGTTTTCACTTCATTTAATTAGGTATTCTTTTTTCCCTCCGAATGAATTTCTTTAACCATTTTCAATATAGCAGGCTAATACATGTATTTGTTAATGTTTTCTCTCCAAAATGATTAACTGCTAGACAGAATTGCATATTGAAACATTATTGTAAACTGAAACTGCCAAATATATTTGATGGAGGAGTAGGTCTAATAATGTTGCATGTTTGTTGTGAAGATTTAAATTTCGAAAAATGCACTTCATATTTAAGCTCTGATATCAAGATTGAAAATTTTGTTTGTAACAAAATATTTTGTCTTGTAAATATTCATCCAGTGTGAAAGGTGTATTGCATAACTGATGTACATGACTTCATCATCATTATATTGTAATAACACAATGTACATGTACAAAATAATTTTGAAATTGCCTAAAGGTATTGTAATACGTAGGTACGCTTGTACCCAGTCATATTAGTGCATGAATTAAAAAAGAGAAGGATATTATACAAAGCTATTTTCAGTTTTGTTGATTCATCTTCAGAAAGTGGGGGTAACCAAAATGATTGATTAGTGCCCTGCTTTATGCAATGCAAAATTTCATCTTTTTTATTGCATTGAAGGAAAAATACCAGAGGATAATTTTTTGCAATACACAATATTTCTATCTTGTGTATTTAATGGGTATTGTAAGAGGCTTTAGATGAACTACCTGTTTCTTTTCATCCTGACTTGGTCTACTCTCTCACAAGATTCTACATTTAACTGCACAAGTTAAGGTAGTTTTTGTAACATTAGCCAAAGTTACTTTCCTAATTGAAGTATAGCAATTGTTCACTTTTTAGCTAACCTGATACAAATCATGGGCCCAATTTCTAAAGTGGTGCCCAAATAGGGGCACATGTAATATACATGTATGTATACATAGGAAATGTCTGTGAGAAGTTTCTTCTCAATACAGCATGTTTACTAACATCTTTTTATGCAAACATCCAAGTGTTGTATAGATGCAATTTTTGACCCCCATACTAGAGTGGGGCCACAGTTGAGGAACAAAGTTACTTTATCTATACTTATCTACATGTATGTAGGGAAATCTTTTTTTCTCAATGACAACAGGTCCAAAATTGATAGTATATATACAAGCATCTTCTTGTGGTGTATAATCAATTTTGTTGAAACGTTGTTTGGACTCGGGTTGGGCCAGAATAGGAGGTCAAAGTTTTATATAAATATAGGGAAAAAAACCATAAAAATCTCTCCAAGAAGAGAAGCCCATTGAGCAAGGAAATGGCTACAACAGCAGGACCATAGTCAAATAGCTAAGCATCCCCATTTAGTGTATATTATGCATATTTGTTTAATTCTTGGGTCCTTGGGGATAGGATTGGGTCACATAAGAGTTCAAGTATTACTTTGGAATATGTAAGAAATTCTTTTAATAACAAAGATCAGATTTACAAATTCAACCCCCATGTAATGTAGATTTAGATTTTTTTAACTCACCTCGACGAAGTTGAGATGAGCTTATGCTATACCATCGGTGTTAGCGTTGGCGTCCCGGTTAAAGTTTTAGGAGCAAGTCCATTCCCAAGTAACTATAAGCCCTAGCTGGACCAGACTTGCATGGATGATGCATTTAGGGATGTACACTAAACAACCTGCTTCAGATGCTGGAACTGACCTAGATTTTCCAAATGAGTGAATTTTAGCCATATTTTAACCAAATTAGCATGGATGATGTGTTTCGGGATGGACACTTCCAGACTTGCTTTGGATTCTGAATCTGACCTACGTTTTCCAGATAAGTGACCAGGGTAATGGTTTTGGAGTAGCTATGTAATATTATGGCCTGTTATGATTAAACTTGCATAGATGGTGCATCTAAGGATGAAAACTTCCAGACTTGCTTTGGATGTTGGAACTGAACAAGGTTTTCTTGATTAGTAAACAGGTTAAAAGTTTTTAGAAGAGGTCTATTTCCAACTATAGGTCCTACTAAAATCAAACTTGCATGGATATTGATCTTGGGATGTACACTAAGTAGAAAAAAAATATGATGTTAGATTTGCATTACTGTCTTATAGATAACATTCATCGAGGTGAGCTTCGTAATCTCTGATTACCTATGTTTTTTCCAAAGCATGGCCACAGGGACTAGATTAGGGCAACATTTTTGGAAAAAAAAATTATAAAGAAAAGATGTGTTTGTGAAACACTGATGCCCCCATATGGCAACTTATAGTGAAGGTTAAACTTTCTCAAATACAAATCAAATATGTTGGTACCCAAAGTAAGGTCTTGTCTCTAGGAATAAACATGTGAAATATGAAAGGCGTAGCAGCAACCATTGAATGAATATGGAAAAGGTTAAAGTTTTTTCAAAAGTATGTCAAACATCAAGGTCAAATGGTCAAAATTAATGGTGCTGAAGGAAAGGCCTTCTCCCAAGAAGTACATAGCTGAAATTTGAAAGCCGAAGCACCAATCGTTCAAAAGTTGTGACCAAGTTTAAAGTTTTCCAAAAGTAGGTCAAACTCCAAGGTCAAGGTCAAAGAGTCAAAGTTGTTGGTATCCAGAGGAAGGTCTTGTCACAAGGATGACAAATGTGAAGTATGAAACCCCTAGCACCAATTGTTCAAAAGATATGGCCAAAGTTAAAGTTTTCCAAAAGTAGATCAAACTCCAAGGTCAAAGTTAATGATATCTAAAGAAAGGTCTTGTCACAAGGATTACATATGTGAAGTATGAAAGCCCTAGCACTAATTGTTTAAAAATTATGGCCAAGGTTAAAGTTTTCCAAAAGTAGGTCAAAAGCTCAAAGTTGTTGGTATCCAAAGAAAGGTCTTGTCACAAGGATTACATATGTGAAGTATGAAAGCCCTAGCGCTAACCATTCAAAAGTTATGGCCAAGGTTAACGTTTTCCAAAAGTTAGGTCAAACTCCTAGGTCAAGGTCAAAGGGTCAAAGTTGTTAGTATCCAAAGAAAGGTCTTGTCACAAGGATTACACACATGTGAAGTATGAAAGCCCTAGCACCAACTGTTTAAAAGTTATGGCCAAGGTTAAAGTTTGGTAAAATTTTGCAAAACTGGGTCCAACTCCAAGGTCAAGGTCAAATATTATGGTACCCAAAAGAATTCACATGTGAAATATAAAAGCCATAGCTCCAACCAATCAAAAGTTAATGGACAAGGTTAAAGTTTTTGCAGACAAGCAGACAGACGGACGGACAGGGTAAAAACTATATACCCCCGAATCTGCGATACGGGGGCATAATAAAAAGGCTACATATTGTGAATTTGATGTTAGACCTCAGTCTACTGTAAAATTAAACTGAAAACTTGGGGACATTATTTGGAAAAGACAAGAAGAGGTACTGTAATCCTCTTCTGTCAGGAAGAGAAAGGTGTCTCAGCTGAGCGATGTGATCTATGGGCCTCTTGTTATTACTTTCAATTTAGATTTCTTTCCTGGAGGCACAAAAGTAATTTTACTTTAAGCTTTGTTCAAAGCATTTGAAATTTCTTCAATTTTTTCCAATGAGACACTTTTCCAAGGGGAAATAAGTAAATTTATTGCAAAACTTTGTGGGTCATTTACAAGTCTCCCATAACTTACAATGGCAGAAAGGATTAAAATTGCCTTTAAATATTTGAAAATCACATTTAAATATATGAAATAAATACAGAGTACCAGTAGATACATATTATCATTTATGGTCTGCAGATTTTACCAAGTGCGAATAGTTTAGATATTATAATCATACATTAACTTCTTCAGCACAGCTAGCACAATTAGGTTACTATTAAGGTGGAACAGATGTAGGGGCAATTTTAGGAAATTCAATGATTTACCCAGGCAATTTCTTTTCATCAGTTTTGTAGTGGCCAGACAGTGTTATTTGCTGGTCTGGTTAAAAAAGCTCAGTTTGTAGAACACCTCTTGTGAGCTCAAGGGTCCTGGTGCACATGGTCTGAAGAATTATCTCCCTTCCTGTTACAGTACATCTTTGCTAGTCAAGGGTTTTTGATCCACTGTGGATCAGAAACCCTTGGCTAATGAAGATGGTTACAGTATTGTACATTTAATGATCCCAAGAGTCGTAGTCAGACCACATTAGAATTTTGTAGGATGTGCAGACATCCTCTTTTGTTGTCAAGATTCAAGTTTGTGCTCCTGCTGTCAAGTGTTATCAAAACATTCAATTTCTAAATAAAATACTTCAATCCAAGGTATATCTTGTTAAGCTGATATGCCAGCATCATTATATACTGTATGCATGTGTACTTAAAATAGCGAGCTTCATATATTTTAGCGGCTTTTTAGCGCCAACAACAATGCGCTAATTCATGATGACCATTAATAAATCAATAAATACAGTACATGGTGCAAATGTGTATAGTACTAATTCACTATTACACTAACCACTCAATACCAAGTGATTGCACTAAATTTTGAATATGTCAATTTATGTATATGTATACTGGATTAAAATTCTTGAAAGCTTGGAGTTCTTGCTTAGATTTGGAAGTAATTTTTTTTTTTCACCTATACAGTGAGGACTGCATTTTCAGCTTGTTTTATAAAATAAGGCATTCTTTCAAGCAAGGACTTTGTTTTTCAGGAAGCTCACATATTCCTGTGTACCATAAATCTTTTATCCCCCTATTTAGTTCCCCTGCTGACTCGTGAACAAAGCATGAAGAATGACAGCTGTAGTAAAAATGTGAAGATGCATTAGGTTTATAAGTAGAAATTTTGCTTATAAATGTGTCAATTAAGATGCTGAAATGCCTCCTTTTTAAAGGTTCTCAACTACAGAGTCAGTTCTTTGTTCATTTTACAGAAGGTTTTAATAGCATGTACATGTATGACTATGTCCATGATTAAGTATGCCATCAACTTCAGATATCGAGAACAAATATTCCTTTTCATTCAAAGTAAAAATTTACTGTAATAACAATTTCAACAAAATTAATGATAAAACATTTCTTGAAGTGCTGAATGGTGGCAAAAATAGACACATTCACAAATACAAGTTAAATGTACAGTATGGTATTTTAGTGTCGGTAGAAACAGATCGATCAATTTTTAAGTACACCAATATATAATGTACCTCAATTAAACACTCAATTAAATATCAGATCCACATATTTAAAGATGTAACAGATCTTTAAATTTTCTAAACTGATAGAAATCAAACATAAACATGAAAAAAATCTGTAAATCTTACATACATGTAGATAATCAGTGTAAATATTGTCATATGGACTCAGATTTTCAACCATTCATGTATAAGCCTAACCACTATACACTATACAACTATATATGGTGCTGTAAGCAACCAATTATATACAATGTACTTATATCACAGATCAGTTGGTTTCCTGTACATTTCTGAAGACTAACAGAGCATGCAATTTTATAATTGCTATACAGGTATACATATATATAAAACATCAGAATGTCTTCTTCTAAGTTGTTCATTTACAATTGATTTCTTGGATACACTGTAGGTAAAAATGACTGATATTAATAACTCCTGCAGTTTAACAAGTCAATAAAGAGCTGACATAAAGGTTCAAAATTAAAAAATGTTATAATACCACAGATGTGATGGCATTTCCATCAATATTTCAAGCATACTTCACCCCGTACACAAACCTTGATGTATTTTTCAATTTATTCTATACTAGTCTTATAAAATTAATGTAAAAAATGATTGCTTGTGGTATACAGATTGTATCGGAACTTATTTCCAAATCTTTCATACACACTATGAGTTATCTAGAATTCAATAATGTCTTCTTTTTTATCTGGTTGGAGCTCTCAGCTGGTCAATTTTGGTATTTGTTCGACTCGCGGGAAATGGCGTTGGTGCATTAGATGCCAAGTAAGGTGTCAAAGATGGCATGGAGGCAGAAAAGGATGAGAAATACTCTGCAGCAAACTGAACAACATCATCAGGTTTCCTGAGCAACAGGAATTGGAGGAAGTCGGCCAGTAGGTTTTTGAGCTCTGGGTGTGAGCGCATGTATGTGGTATGGTCTCCTTTTAATTCCTCCTAAAAAAGCATATTATCATGAAAAGTTAAATATTAATCATTATTTACATTCTTCAGTTATTTTTCTTAACATCCACTTCAGTCAAAACTGGATATCTCAAAAATGGCTGGACCGCCTGATAACTTTTGATGTTAAAGATATTTAAATTCATATTCATAATATAATACATGTAGATACATATTGACCCTTCAACTGTACTTGCATTTATATGTCTAGTTCAAATGAAATAGTACAATGAAAAACTTCGCAAAAATATATGTAATGTGTACTGGTACTGTACTTTAAAATATCATTGAATATTTTTAAATATCGTTATTTAAAGAATTTAAATATAAATATTGAAAGATTATTTTTTACACAGTGCAATACATCACACAACTGCGCATGAAATTTTCATCACACCACTATTCAGTTTGCAAATAAAGCTTTGTGATTCACAGCACCATGGAGGGCATAAATAATTTCTCACACCTTGTAAGGTAACTGGCTTTTTAGTCAAAATTATATTTTGAATTTTCATTAAGGTTACCTTTCTGTCCAGAAACTTTGAGTATAACTGCATGTCATCTTCCCAATTTAGCTCTTTCTTCTCGAACACTGGCTTAGGGGGCTCCTCATCTGCACCAACACATGATATATTAATAATGAAATTCTGGCAGTTTTATTATTAAGTTTGTGAATGTTTGTACTTGGGTAAATTTTTGTTTTTTTTTTACATTTAATGCAAATTTATATTTGACACAATTTGCTAAAAGAATTTTATTCTTTCAATTTTCTCCCCCTATACATTGCTAAACTTATCTAAAATTTAAAAAGACTTGACAATTTTCCATAAAATTTAAAATCTGGTTTGTCTAAAAATTTCCCTTTTTTCTTCACCATCTATATGTATATCTCTCTGTAGTGTTAAGACTCAAATATTACTTTTGTATGGATACTAAACCCATCTCATTAGTACATGTACGTTACCTCTTTCAATAAGATGTGGAACAGATGTCAACTTCATGGTCACAGGTGAACCCACTTGAACCCTGTTTGTCATGTGACTGTAAAAACAAAAAATAATTCATACATTAAAACATACAAAACACAACTATTCAACAGTGATTGTTAACAGTCTAAATATAACAGGAATGAATGCAAAATTAGACAATTTTTTAAAATATAATTTATAGTAATTCAATAATTATTCTATCATTTCCCAGATAGACTAAATTTATTTTGAGACCTATTATACTCATGATCTGGGTGACTTTAACTGGATTTTTTTTTTAAAATAATGATTGAAAAAAAAAAAAATATATATATAGATATATATATATATATATATATGCTGGAGCTGTTCTATATATACACATCAAAGAATGTCTCGAGGTCCACATTTGACAGAATGTTTTCTGTTATAAGAATATATTAAAGACTTAGAAATAAAACATTATATAACTGTATGCTTTGCTAAAATAAAAAGTAATATTCTCCTACCAGTCCTGCATGAAATAGGACTGCCATGTTGTTGGGAGATCAGCGAAGGAGTTGATTGTCCGCTCGACCCCAAACACTCGGATTTCTGTTGTACCAACTGTCTGTGTGCGGTCCTCTAATGGCCTCTACACATAAAGAACTACATATTGATTTTCAAATTCTATGTAGTGAATTACCAGAACTGCCTTTTTATTTTAATTTTGTCACTTTACACATGCTCGACCATAGTCATCTGACCCCGTATGAAATTTAGAGGCGTATTACGCCTGGACTTTTTGCAAATCCTGGCGTACAAGAGACGTATTCTTAAAAATACGGTTCATTTTCAGGCGTACACGTATTTTTGCCAGAAATACGTCTCCTTTTCTCCTGGCGTAAATTCTTAATCCAGGCGTATTTTTTTTCTTAGTCTCTTTCGCATAGGGAAATAAAAACTTAGAAAATTTCAAAAGGCGTATTTTTGGAAATCCTGGTGGATTTTCTGACTTAGTCCTTATTATTAAGAGAGCTAGATAAAAATTTTACTTAGACAACTTCAATCTCCTTTATGTAACTATTGAGTTGCTTTTGTGATACATGTATTAAAATTAACCCCCCAAAAAGTATTTACTCCACATGTAAACATTGATTACATTACAATATTGCCTTTGTTGTATTCATTGTATTTATTAAAGCAATTAATTTTAGTAAATTATACTATTCAATCTTAGATTACTGTGCCATTGATTCCCAAATAAAAAAAATGTTTAATATTATTTCTCTTAACTAAGATGATTTTATTTCTAACAAACTTAGTATATTCTTTCATTAATGTTTTAGTGGCTTAATATAAAATAGCATTTAATTAAATGAATATTTAAGTCCTTAGTTTTAACAAAGCACTATAGCTGATGCTAAAAATAATTTTTCAATCAGTAATTGCATGATCAATGTCTCTATAATAAAACAAAATATAGATGGTATATTCAGATAATATTACATTACCATCTACTTTCTCTTCCCTAGTCTAACCAGTTGGGATTAGGCTAATTACTTACAGATGTGTTGAGCATGTTTAGGAACGACTTATCTGTAATGTTGTAAACCTTTCTAAGAACGGCTTATCAGTTTATATCCGGTTTCTCTAGAGCAGTTCTATTATCCACCCTAATCTTTAAAATAAAAGTATAATTCATATAGAAAAAACATCTTGTGTAAACATAAATGAATTTTTGTTATTGTATTCTTTAACAATACAGAATTCTTTTTTCATCAAATTTACATAATGTACTGATCTCTCAGAAATGATAAAACCGTTTAGGTAACAAGGGGGTTATAAACAACAGCATTATTTACATCCAAGTATTTGCGCCAATTTTAAACCACCAGGAAGGTCATGCCAGGAACAAAGAGATTGGAGAAAGTGGCAACGAAGCACAGATGGTGAAGAGGTGATTATTTTGAAATACATTGCATAACATTAGATTTTTTTACCTAAAAAAATAAGACAGATGCATTTGCTTGATTTGCAGAGCCAGATGTTCATGATTGAAATGGGTCAGTATGACATTGAGTATGTTCTTATGTTTTTCTTTTTCCAGATCATAATCCATAGGATAAATCAGTTGGGCGATCAATTGAATGATGAAATAGTCCATAAATACTTGAATTTAAGTGAAGAAAAGATCTTGCGAGAGTCAAATGACCAGAATTGCAGCATTTTCCATAGATGCATGCCAATGAACTGCAGCTGTTGAGTGTAGCATCAGGAATGAAGTGTATTTTGAATGCCAGGAGTTATAAAACATGAAAAACATCTTTTTGTGAATATTTCTATGAAAATGTGATTGGAGAATATAATAAGAAATGTGAATGACAAAACTGCTTGTGAATTGCATCTTTTGTGCCAAATAAGGAGTACAGAGAATGGCAGGATTAATCGGCATGATTCTCAATAAAGTGATTTCACTGTGATTATTGGAATGTTGCAACTGCTGACTAAACTAATATGTCAATCTTGTAGGTTAAAATACTTTGAAACAGGAAAAGTTAATGTAAATCTAACATGTGATGTGACTGTGATTTGAAACAGTAAATGTTTGATTCTGATTTTTAATCATTTCTCATTCACATTTAAGCATACTGAAAAGTATTAATAAAATAAAAATTGTGTATGATTGTAAGCTTAATTTGTCTGATCTTTTTTGTATGTATTTATATGCACTTAGACTCCTAGTAATCTATGTACTAAAGTACATTGTACTTTTATATTTATGTTGGTTGTAGTCCCCATAGCTGTGATAATATTTAATTTGAAATGAATATTTAAGGCAGGCGTATTTTTTATACGGGCGTATTCATTTTACGGGTGTATTTATTTTACGGGCGTATTTTTTTTTTTACGGGTATGCTTGATATCTAGGTGTAATTCTATTTTTAAAATTTCCAGGCGTATTTTGAATTTCCAGGCGTACTCATTTACATATTTCGGCTAAAAATACGGTAGGATTACGCCTCTTGTACGCCTGTATTTCACTTTATACGCCTGCTTTTATGTATTCATTTTAATGGAGAATCCACCAGGATTTTAGGAATATAATACGCCTGGATATTTTTTGAAAATACGTGACTAAAATTTCGTACGGGACATTACTGATATAAATTTAATCAAAAGTTTTATTCTTTATTAAGATGGACACTTGTAATAAAGCTTCACTATTCACTTTCTTAAAAGAGACATTTCATCTGTCTTCAACAGAAAAACAAAATTTCAAGACAAATAAAAGATTTCAAATTGTCTGAAAATGGTCTGTTTCAAGACATTTCTTGAAATGGACCAATTCTGGACAATACATGTACATGACAGTACATCAACCCTAATACTTTGTAAACAGACATCAATGCTAGTGAAAATACAACATGTATGTAGAGAATTTCAAGATTATTTTCTATAGATATAATGCAAAATCTATAGACTGTTTATATTTCTGCAAAACAAAATTTCCTGATGAAGAATTATCTAAGAAAAATGAAAGGATATTAATTTGGATACTAATTTGCTCATACAGAAATATGGATATTAGGTCATACAGAAATACTGCAAAAAAAAAGAATTCAAAATATATACACAGATTAATGATTGTATAAAGCTTACATATATCACAGAACACAAATTGGTATCCGAGTCAAAAGACAGGAACTGCATATTGTCAGGAATTCCCTTTTCTATTAATAGTCGGTGTAGAAGTAAGTTAGATCCTGAAACAGAAATCAAATTCATTTTAATATTTATCTTTCATAATGCAGTGTGTCTGTATCTGAAGTATTATCAAGTAAATCCAATAAAACAGTATTTTTAACAAAAGTAAGATTTTTAATACACTGCCTTTCTCTATAACTTACCCTCAGAAATAAAGCCCTTCATCTGATTGTGGTCAAATGTTTTTGACGATCTCTGTACATCCTGTGATCAAAAAATAAATAAATAAATAAAATATATATTTTGATTTTAAATAAAGGACAAAATGACACATTCTTTCTCCATTAAAAAAATCATTTTCACAAGATGTTGTAAAAATGGATTTCATTTTTATATTTCTTTGCCAAACATGTATTTTAGAATTTCAAATGGTGGTAATTAAAACTAATTTACCTCTCCTTGTGTAATCACTCTGTTTACAATGTAGTTGTCTGGTTGCTTCACTATAAATGTTTTTCTATCTAAAGGACAATTTTCAAGCTAAAACGAAATAAAATCATATAGTTATCAACAATTCATGTTTAAAAGCCTATCCAATTCAAGTAAACAAAATATTCCAAAAGAGTGAAAAAAGGTTTAAGTCAAAATACATGTAGTTAGTTTAACTATGTACAATTCAAAAACTTAATTACTTTTACAAACCAGAGACTTTCAAAAATAACCTTGACCTACTTATACAACTGACCTTGACATATTCATGGTGCTGCTGTTCTATGGTCTCCAGGTTCTGACCTACATACGCAGTTATGGAAGTTCCACATGGGACGCCGTCAATTGAGCCGTGACTGTTGGCATGGATAAGGAAACAGTCTGTCTGTTTGTATCGTGTGGGTTCTACAGAAATACTGAACTCCCCAAGCTCTTTGCCTGTGTCTGACACTGTGACCAGGTGGTCATCAAACATCAAGTATTTATAGTCATCCTCTGGAACTAAAATAAATTAAAAATACTGAAAGAAATAAAAGGAAGTTTCTGCAGATCTTATTCAACTCACTTTATGTATTAGTAAAAGAGGAATAACAAATCATAAGACTTCTTCCAAGAGTTACAGAGTATTGTAACTTTATTTCTGGCATTTCATGTATAAAAAGTAGTAATATCAGGGTTGTCCCTAAGACCTGTGGAATTTGCCCGCCCATTATCCCAAAGTTATTCTTGTTATCCCCCCCCCCCCCAAACCTGTTAGGGGGAACCCCAGATCTCCTTCTACTTATTAAATGTCCCCTGCAATGTCAATTCCTGAACATATGCACACATTGTGTGGCATATATAAAACAGTGCAATGATGAATATGTTTTTATATGCTTTATGCTTTAACTTAATTTTACATTTTACTCCTGACCATTTGATATTTAAAATCTGTGGAATATGTACTTACTATACTTCATGTACATAAAAAATGTTAAGATTTAAATTTAAAAGGTGTGCATTTAACTGAATATCAGGAAAACTTTCGTAAGTCTTTGTTCTGCATGTTTTACATATATGACCAACTACAGAATGTCTAACTATATTTTGTAAATTATTTTTATTTGAAAAGAGACATCTATAATATATGTTTGCTTTACAAACTTGTGTGTTTTATATTTCATCACATTCAATATCTATACACTCACAGTGAAACCTTATAGTCTAAGAATATAACTACAAGAACATTGATACAAACCTATGCTTTGCACAAACTTGACAGCTTCCTCGCTGACTGTGGGAATTTCCTCTGGAACTTGCTCTGGTGGCTGACGACCAGTTATCACAGATCCTGGGTCTGAAGTACTCACACTGAATAGTAAATATGGAGAAATTTATTTCTGGAAATTATTCATCTTTAATTATAAGTTAGAAATATTTTGGACACTGAGTAAGGCCATAGAAGCCCTGTGCAAATAGCCAAATAGGGCTGTATAAAATCCTGACTACATGTTGAATTCAGCACTTATACATGTAGCATGAAAAAGTTCCAAAACACAAAATTACATGAATATGAATATGTTTGTTTGTTGTTTAACGTCCCTCTCGAGAATTTTTCACTCATATGGAGACGCCACCACTTGCCATTGCACAGCTGCAAATTTTGACCTATACTTGGCACTTAGGGCCCTTGAGCAGTGAGGGATCTTTTTTGTGCCAGCACCTACTGCGGCATGGGACCTCGGTTTATATGGTCTCATCCAAAGGACCCGTCTCCAAGTCCCACACTGGGATTCGAACCCGTGACATAAGGATCAACTCCTTACTCTGCGACTCTAGAGCAGACGCTCTAACCACTTCGCCACACAGGTGACAATATAAATATGTACATTAAGGTGTTCTGTAACATCAATCTAACCCCCTTAAATGATACGTAATTCACATCCAGTCTAAAATGGGTTCATGGATCAATACCACATGTACATGCTGCTTGTATACGTTGAGTGCCTGCATACTGTTTTGCATTTTATAAAAATGGGGTTGGGGTGGGGTGGAGGTTCAGTCAGGTCTTTTCTCGCCATCAAATTTAAGTATTAATTCATATACTACAGTAATAGTTTAATCTATCACTGAATTTCAAAAATACAACATATATATAATATTATCTGATATAGAAATATATATATAAATTCAATATAGGCCTATACTATTGAATAAATTTATCAATTTATATTTAAAAGAACCGGTTGTATGTTTTGCTCTCTGCGCAAATAAACACCCCTACCTCGTTGCCGTGGTAACGGCACTCATGACTGCACAACTTGAACAAGTTCCTTTACCGAATTTTACGATATTTTACCATCAAACTAAACTTCGAAGCACTTGTCAAAAATCACTATGGCGATGACTTCCTGTTTAGTGAATCTAAAACTCAAATGAAACTGTTATCGATTCCGGAATGTTTTCACACGGTCCGTTCCCAATTCCCCATCTGATAAAACACATTTGGCCCAAGGATGCCAGTCTGTCACTCTCTACCTGCTAAAAAAAATTTAAGATCATGTTACATTTATAACAATGTCAACTGAATGATTGTCAAGCTTCTCAGTACGTATAACTTCATTTTTATCAACAACATGCCAAGAAAAGGTACGCATTCTAGTTTTAGAGCGAACTCAATAAAAGCGGAATTAGCGTTAATCTGTGATTTTTCCCCAGGGAGATGTGTGCGAGGCAATTAATGTCAGCAGTTTTGAGGGAAGGATCTTAAGTTTTACTGGTTTGAAATTAAAGCTGGAATACTTACTATTTAGAGGCCTTTGCACCTTTTTTCCTGTTGTTTTTTTTTAAAGGGGGGGGGGGGATTTTCCATGCAAATCATATGCAGTTTAAAAAGTAAAAAAAAAAGAAGAAGAAGAAGAAAAAGAAAGTGAAATAAATTGTACTGAACTAATTAATTGTTCAGTAAAAATTAGACGCCTTTCAAATTTTTCAGTGTTTATATATCAAAATATTTTTTTCCTAGTATAAATTAACATCGGGCACGATGAACTTGGTTGTTGTGGAAGTCTCGCGCCTTATTAAGGTATCATACCGCTAATTGACCAATGAAAATGAACTTAGTCAATTGTAGTTCCATACATATAAAATTATTATTTTTTCCTTTTGAATTTTTTTTTTATTAAATTTCCTTCCAGTCTATTTTTACAATTTTGGTACCTGTGTCTAGTGCATTTTACATATTTTGTAAATAAATAAAGGTTTCTGACAGGAACTATTTTTTTTCAGGGCATAGGAGGCTACTTCCTGGGGTAGAAGTTTATTTTTCTTTGACTAAGAAAACGGAAAACTTAGGATCCACCCCCTCAGATCTGCTGCCGTTAATGGTCTCGCCAGCGTTAGGGGAATATGGGTGATTTGCATCAATTACACTTTTATTGACTCTATCGCTGTGGAAAAATGGACGGGATTTCTTGGCATGACTAGCGTGCTAGAGAGAGAGAGAGAGAGAATTCAATTGGCCTCAAAAATTCACAATAGACATAAACTTCCATTTTATTATTCTGTCGATTTTGATGCCATTTATGTCTGAAAATAATATTTCTGACTAAGTGTAACGTAAAGTGTATTATGAAATTTATTTTGTTTACCTTTCCTGGCAATATACTACGTGCATTTGTAAAATCTGAAATGCATTAACACTAAATCTTTGTAACATTTAACGAATTCGAGCTTGTTTTGAAGGGCTTAATATCGTGCTTGTTTAGAAGGGCTTAATATCAGGGAAATTTTGTAGTCTTTGAACAGTACTTTGTGTGTTTTTCAAGATGAACGTTAACTCTCGCCATCTCGTCACCGACTCTTTGCATTTACATTAGCTTTATTCCAATGAACGTTGTACTTATGTCCTTCAAAGGGAGATCATTTGAGTACATCCAGAGTTACCTTATGCAAATTTCACAAGATAACTGCTAAGCATTTGAGAGACAAGTATAAATTGGAGATTTCTGGAGGGTGGTGGTGGGCTAATATTTCTGCTTGTTTCAGGCAATAAAGACACGTGAGCAAACCTGCTTCATGTATCTGCACATGCATGTACATGCATTGTACTGCATATGCAACCTGTCAACCTTATGCTTGCTCCAATAAATCGCTCGTATTCTAAGGGAACTATATTGATATAGTGTTCTTTTTAAAATAAATTTTTACCTCAGATTTTTGAATCTTAATATATTTTCTGTTCTGGAAACTAATGTATTGTCTGCGTAAATCAGAGTTGTGATCGTGTTAATTTTGTAGGATCAAAATAGTAAGAAAACTTATTCTTTACACTGATTAAGAATGCATTTTTCGTACGAATTAAGATATAACAATTACAAGGATGTGACTAAAAAAGGCACATGCTCATTGTTGAATTAAAAACGACACAAAACTTTTCTTTCTGTTGTGAAGAATATAATACAAAGTCATTGTTACAGTCTTTGAATAGTAACTGTTTTGTGAATTGAACTCTAGTCATCACGTGACCAGAAACCGTTCTCGCTGTCAATCGAAAGCGTGAAAACTCTAGCAGGCTTTGCGAACTTATGTAGATAAGTATTTTTCATGAAAACTGTCATAAAATTGCATTTTTGCATTCATCTTAGATACATTACTTCGCATTGCCGTTACAAAATCAATAAAGAACCCCCGATTACTTTTTGAATAATAAAATTTATGAAATTTATCAACGATGTATCAGACTGCGTGAAATTCGTAATCTTGACAAAAAGCTCATGCGTAAATAATTTTGAGGCCTAAATAATTGTGAAATCCAGATATTATTTTAACCACATAAGACACAAACCAAAAATTTCAAATCCCAAGACACCACTGCTGCAAAATACTTGTTCAACATACCAATGAAGATTACTTGATATTTTTAATGTTCATTCAAGGGCAATTGATTTTCAATTGTGTGCATTTATACTTTAATTCCTTTAGTGCAAAGCAAAATTTCAAGCATGAAATCAGAGAGAGAGAGAGAGAGAGAGAGAGAGAATTCAATTGGCCTCAAAAATTCACAATAGACATAAACTTCCATTTTATTATTCTGTCGATTTTGATGCCATTTATGTCTGAAAATAATATTTCTGACTAAGTGTAACGTAAAGTGTATTATGAAATTTATTTTGTTTACCTTTCCTGGCAATATACTACGTGCATTTGTAAAATCTGAAATGCATTAACACTAAATCTTTGTAACATTTAACGAATTCGAGCTTGTTTTGAAGGGCTTAATATCGTGCTTGTTTAGAAGGGCTTAATATCAGGGAAATTTTGTAGTCTTTGAACAGTACTTTGTGTGTTTTTCAAGATGAACGTTAACTCTCGCCATCTCGTCACCGACTCTTTGCATTTACATTAGCTTTATTCCAATGAACGTTGTACTTATGTCCTTCAAAGGGAGATCATTTGAGTACATCCAGAGTTACCTTATGCAAATTTCACAAGATAACTGCTAAGCATTTGAGAGACAAGTATAAATTGGAGATTTCTGGAGGGTGGTGGTGGGCTAATATTTCTGCTTGTTTCAGGCAATAAAGACACGTGAGCAAACCTGCTTCATGTATCTGCACATGCATGTACATGCATTGTACTGCATATGCAACCTGTCAACCTTATGCTTGCTCCAATAAATCGCTCGTATTCTAAGGGAACTATATTGATATAGTGTTCTTTTTAAAATAAATTTTTACCTCAGATTTTTGAATCTTAATATATTTTCTGTTCTGGAAACTAATGTATTGTCTGCGTAAATCAGAGTTGTGATCGTGTTAATTTTGTAGGATCAAAATAGTAAGAAAACTTATTCTTTACACTGATTAAGAATGCATTTTTCGTACGAATTAAGATATAACAATTACAAGGATGTGACTAAAAAAGGCACATGCTCATTGTTGAATTAAAAACGACACAAAACTTTTCTTTCTGTTGTGAAGAATATAATACAAAGTCATTGTTACAGTCTTTGAATAGTAACTGTTTTGTGAATTGAACTCTAGTCATCACGTGACCAGAAACCGTTCTCGCTGTCAATCGAAAGCGTGAAAACTCTAGCAGGCTTTGCGAACTTATGTAGATAAGTATTTTTCATGAAAACTGTCATAAAATTGCATTTTTGCATTCATCTTAGATACATTACTTCGCATTGCCGTTACAAAATCAATAAAGAACCCCCGATTACTTTTTGAATAATAAAATTTATGAAATTTATCAACGATGTATCAGACTGCGTGAAATTCGTAATCTTGACAAAAAGCTCATGCGTAAATAATTTTGAGGCCTAAATAATTGTGAAATCCAGATATTATTTTAACCACATAAGACACAAACCAAAAATTTCAAATCCCAAGACACCACTGCTGCAAAATACTTGTTCAACATACCAATGAAGATTACTTGATATTTTTAATGTTCATTCAAGGGCAATTGATTTTCAATTGTGTGCATTTATACTTTAATTCCTTTAGTGCAAAGCAAAATTTCAAGCATGAAATCAGAGAGAGAGAGAGAGAGAGAGAGAGAGAATTCAATTGGCCTCAAAAATTCACAATAGACATAAACTTCCATTTTATTATTCTGTCGATTTTGATGCCATTTATGTCTGAAAATAATATTTCTGACTAAGTGTAACGTAAAGTGTATTATGAAATTTATTTTGTTTACCTTTCCTGGCAATATACTACGTGCATTTGTAAAATCTGAAATGCATTAACACTAAATCTTTGTAACATTTAACGAATTCGAGCTTGTTTTGAAGGGCTTAATATCGTGCTTGTTTAGAAGGGCTTAATATCAGGGAAATTTTGTAGTCTTTGAACAGTACTTTGTGTGTTTTTCAAGATGAACGTTAACTCTCGCCATCTCGTCACCGACTCTTTGCATTTACATTAGCTTTATTCCAATGAACGTTGTACTTATGTCCTTCAAAGGGAGATCATTTGAGTACATCCAGAGTTACCTTATGCAAATTTCACAAGATAACTGCTAAGCATTTGAGAGACAAGTATAAATTGGAGATTTCTGGAGGGTGGTGGTGGGCTAATATTTCTGCTTGTTTCAGGCAATAAAGACACGTGAGCAAACCTGCTTCATGTATCTGCACATGCATGTACATGCATTGTACTGCATATGCAACCTGTCAACCTTATGCTTGCTCCAATAAATCGCTCGTATTCTAAGGGAACTATATTGATATAGTGTTCTTTTTAAAATAAATTTTTACCTCAGATTTTTGAATCTTAATATATTTTCTGTTCTGGAAACTAATGTATTGTCTGCGTAAATCAGAGTTGTGATCGTGTTAATTTTGTAGGATCAAAATAGTAAGAAAACTTATTCTTTACACTGATTAAGAAT